ATAAAAGTATCAGGACAAAAAATCATCTTGTTAGTTACATTAATTGAGGCTGGAATGTGGGATACCCTTTTTACACCAAACCTCATCACTTGTACATTGTTTACCTGTGGACTCAGATGGAACAAATTTCTAACTCCTCTCTGTTTCTTACTTACCCCTTTCCCATTTGACCAAAGCATCCCTGTTATCTCTCCCATATAGGATATTGCTTCACCTACATGGAGCTATAAAATTGAGTCCATGGAGTATTAATTCAGCTTTTCTTCTTTTTCTTCTGCTGATTCTTTAAATTCCCTCAATTCTTTTGACATTTTTTTTATCCCTTGATGGTCTTTCTTTGTTCTTTCTTTTACCCCTCAGTTCAATCTCCTTTTTCAAAAAAATCACCCATAAACATGACAGAATTTATTTCATTGCTTAATCATTTCTTGATAATTATACTTATTTAACTTCCCTGAATTTCTGTTATTTGGTATACCTGGAAGGTAAATATTCTACTCACATGTGTTATACTCAGCTAGTGTGCTGGAGCCAGTCAACTCTAACTGGCTCATGAGTTAATTGTTAAATTTTCAGTGTGAATATTTACACCTTAGAAATGACAATTGCTATAAATCAGGGCTCGATTTATTTTTGTGCATATTGTCTGAATTTAAGAAAGTGTTGATAATATAGATTAAGTTTAGAAGTACATATGCATGCATCCCCCCCCCTTTGAGCTCCGTTTATCAGTACATCCCTATATTGCTCTGTAAATATTGCCTGAACTCAATAGGAGCTCAGTAGAAGGATCAGAGAATGAGTCCTGGTGACTGTAAGTTAATAATAATAACAACAATAGTCATTTATACGGTGCTTCAAGATTGGCAAAGTGCTTTACATTCATTAGTTCATTTGACCCTCACAATATCCAATATTGTAGCTGTAGTTGATTTTGCAGCTATTTATCAAATGCCTCTTCTTGAAGGTCAATCTTTTTTCATTGATTATTAGGCCCAGTTTTGTAGGATGTATTGTTTTGTGTTGCAACTTGACCCTTTTCACTTTTTAAAATATTATATTTTATCCTTCTGATTTCTCATGACTGTGATGTAATCTTGGGTTATTCAAAATGGAATTCCCTCATACTGGAAGGTCTTTCTCCTGACAACTTGCAGCATTTGTTGTCTGTTATTAAAATCTTGATGTTGACCTGCTTTATGCCTTGTAGTTTCTAGCATGAATAATTTTTCTGGTGTTGATCTTTGCTTTCAATTAACACTGCTTTGTTATCTTTTTCAAAACTTTGGATGGTTTGCTTATCGTATTTCCTAAAGCATATTATAGAGTTATTTCTTTTAAACATACTGCTGGGAGATCTATGAATCTTAAGTTATATAGGCACCTGTCTTGTGTGTTGCTTTGTTAGTACATATGTGTGTGTGTGTGTATGTGCTTCTGTGTGTGTATGTATATATATATATGTATATATATATGCACATGCATACATATATATATATATATAATTAATGTGTTCTTTTAACATTGTTGCCTTTTGATTTTCTTCTCTCATATTTCCTTTCACTTCTGTACATTTTTGGCTTTAAATTTATCTTTTTCTTATTGTCTCTATTTCTCTGAGGGCATATCTGTCATATACTCAAAGTTTTATGCTCTATAGTTTGTTCTACTTTTTTTGCTTTGAGAACTTATTTCTACTTTACATTAGTCTTAATATCTTTGTCCAACAATATTTTTACTTTGAATTATCATGATGTGTCTTTCTGTTGTTCCATGTTTCCTGAGACTCTGCAGAATTCTTGTTTTGATCTTGGAATTAAGCTTCATTTCACTTTGTTGTATATTTGTCCACAGTGATCTGAACTCTCTAAATTTTTACACTCATTCATCAGACTTTGTAAACTACTCTGTTGAATTATCTGCTCATAATAGGATTTGTACCAGGTTTTTTTTTTTAAATTTTCTCTCTTGGCCTTTCAATCTTTCAGTCTCTCTTATGTTACCAGTAACTTCTTTGTTGTTTCCATCTACATTCTTTGACCTTCTCCTTTAACTACTCAACAAACATTCAGGGATGGTGGCCATCTATTGCTATAAATTAAGAGTTGTCAGGGTCTGACCTGGGTTCCTGACTAGAATAAAGGCCAAGAGGAGAGGAGATCCCAGGTGCATTTTCAATCCATTTTTCCCTTGGACAAGCTGGCAAAACTGTTTTTTCTCTCTGTGTACAGAGCATAGAAGTGGTTGGGGTAGAAGATACTGATTGAGAGTTCTAAGTATTTTAATTCTCCCATGTTTGTTCTTTTGTCAGCTATTTTTTTTGTCTTGTACAGAATTTCTATCTTTATTTTATTCCTTTTTATGCAGATTCATCTTTTCTTATTTATACCTGACACATTTTCTTTAAAAAATTTTTGGAGGTAGGGCATTGGAGGTTTGGGACAGCTACTCTGCCCTCCTGATGGTCACAGACTTGAAACTTGGTTTCACACCTCTGTGGGAAAAACTACATTAGGAAAATGGAACAAACATTTATTAAATACTATTCACCTGACACTGGTCTTCATAATAACTTTATGAGGTAGATGCTATTATTGCCTTCATTTTAGAGTTGTGAAAACTGAGGCAGGCAAAGGTTGAGTAATTACCCAGTTAGTGTCTAAGTCCAGATTTGAACTCAGGTTTTTCCAACTCCAGGTCCAGAACTCTATCTATTCTATCATCAAGTTTCTAGCTGCCACCCAGATTACAGTCTGCTTACCATTGGTTAGGTGTAACATGTTCCATGTTGACACCATTATGAGTCAGGATTAGAATTTCATAAACCTTACAAAGTGACACAGTCATCTATTTTCTTTTATTTAAGGTTTTTCTACATGTTTTACATGGTCCAGAGAAGCAAACAATGGGTACATGTACCTGATACAGTGGTGCTCCTTTGTTGTTGAGGAGACTAGTATCCAAGGAAGAATGCTACTTTAATCCAAGCTGACCAAGTAAAGTCAACCCATGACAAAAAGCATTCATTAAACATTTACTATTTTAAGACACTTTGCTAGATACTAGCTATAAAAAGATAAAAGTCAAGTCATCTGAAGGCAATTGTATAGCAATAAGCTTTCAGTAAAGTCGTCACTCAATACTTATTGATTACTGTTGTCATTTTGTAGTATTATTCAGTCTTTAAATTGTGTCTGACTCTGTATGACCCTGTGTTTTCTTGAATACTAGAATGATTCGCCATTTCTTTCTCCAGTGTGTTCCCATTTTACAGATGAGGAACTGAGGTAAATCAAACATTGATTTTGTGCAGATACACAAAAGAAATGAAGAACAATTAGAAGAGAGTGAGTGAAAGATGCAAGCAGTACAGATCAGAGTACAGAGCCTTAAGCTAGAATGGAAAAAGCTTCTGTCCAAGGGAAAAGTGGATTGAAAATATACCTTGGATCTCCTCTCCTCTGAAATTACTTGCTCATGGTCACACAGTATGTATAGAATGATATATATATATATATATATACATATATACACACACACACACATACACACAAGTATTTATGTGTGTATATATATGTATATACATATATATACTTGTATACATATAAATACATACATATATATTTACGTGATAATTCTGTTTTATATTTGAAAGGAATAGCAAGTTGTGGATAGTAAATTTGTAGTTTCGTGTGCAATCATCTTTTTTATTGTACTATGTTATAGAAATGCTTTTTTATTCCATAAATTAAAAATAAATTTCAATAATAAAAAGCCCACATTCTTTTACAATTCACAGTATTAGGCATAAAGAAAGAATATTTCTCTAACTTTGGTGATCTTTTTAAAACTGCTAATGCTCAAAAATCACATAAAAGTACAAAATCCACTCTGGGATAGGGGTTCTTATCCTGAAGTTCATGGACATGTTTTAGAGAGGTAATAGATAGATAGATAGATAGATAGATAGATAGATAGATAGATAGATAGATTAGATAGACAGACAGATAGAGATAGAGATATTTTTGTTAGTTTCCTTTGTAATCTGGTGTATCATATTTTCTGCATAAAAAAAGTATTATTTGGAGATGGAGGCCTAAAGCTTCACCTAACTGCCGAAGGGAACCATTATACACAAAAAGATAGAAACATGTGCTCTAGAATGTAATGCTTAAAACCACATTACTTTCCCGGAGAATGATGTACTCCTTCTAGAAACACTATAATAATTCTATTCTGAGAAGACTGAAGACAGGTTAAGCAGACTCTTAAGCTGCAAGTAGTGCTTTTAAAGTGGGGGAAATGAAAATTTTTTATTTTTGTCATAATAAAAAAGTGTATGTAAACTGGACTGTCTTTTTTATATATGTTGGCTTCAATTAGTTTTTCAGAGTCCTGTCACATAGAAATAATTACCCATCCCTGTGTTAAAGAATAATCTCTTCTAAAAATAAAAATTTCCTTGGGTTGTTAACATATCGAATTCTTTCCAACCTCTCACACTTAGCCTGGACTCATATTAGTAGTTCAGTTTTTCAAATTCTTCTCTTCTGCCAGTCAGAGAAGTATGATTAGGATAGGGTAGATAGACCTATAAGGCATAAGGAATCAGGGAGTAGAGGGTACAAAAGTGAAAGGTGAAAAGATTTCACATACAAATTTTACCTACTTCGTAATGTTTGCCTAGGAAAGACATTGGCTTTTGCTACCCAGAATATATAAATCTTTGACTTTGAAGATTCTTGAATTTATCACTGAATCCTAAAGTTACAGCAATAGGAATCCTAGAAATTATCTAGGTCACATTCTCGACACATAATTTACAGGTAAGGAAAGTGAGGTCCGTAAAGGTAAAATTCAAGGTCAAAAACTGATTTAATAGCTTAGCCATAGACATTAGCACTGTTTCTATTCCTGAATGAAACAAAGAAACTATAGTCATAACAAGTCAATTACTTTACATTAAAAAATCAAATTTACGTTCTTTCAGTGATTATACATTATACAAAATTCCTTCGCTTTCTCAGCCTGAACAAAGCCATCTTTACTTCTTTGTTCCTTAATGAGTACACCAAGGGATTCAGCATGGGTGTGATCATTGTTTGGAAAGTGGCCACAATCCTATCCATAACATGTTTTGAGCCTGGTCTTAGATAAATTATAAGAGCAGGCACAAAGAAACAGAGGACCACAATGCAATGGGAAGCACAGGTATGGAAGGCTTTGTGTCTGCCCTCTGCTGTGCGGATCTTCAAAATAGCTCTAACAATGGACACATAGGAAAGAAAAATCAGGAAGCCACATCCAGAAGCTACAACTCCAATGTTAACAAAGATTACCATCTCATTGACTGAGGTGTCTGCACAGGCTAATTTGAGAATGGGTGGTGCATCACAAACATAATGTTCAATCTGATCGGGGCCACAGTAGGGCAGGCGGAAGATCAAGGCAGTCTGGGCTGCTGAGTGGATAGCACCACTGAGCCATGTGCCTCCAGCCAGAAGGGCACAGGTTTCCCCACTCATCATGGTAGCATAACGCAGGGGATAAGTGATGGCCAGGTAGCGGTCATAGGACATGACTGTGTAGAGGAAACACTCAGTGCTTCCCAGGCAATGGAAGAAATAGAACTGAGCTGCACAATTTTGAAATGAGATAGCCCTACCATCTGGCGAGAGGAGACCCATGAGTATCTTGGGCACAGTGACAGTGGAGAACCACATATCAATAAAAGAGAGGTTGGCTAGGAAATAGTACATGGGAGTGCACAGGTGGGAATCCACCTTGATCACCAATAGGATGAGGAGGTTCCCCATCAAAGTGAGTACATAAATCACTAAGAAGATCCCAAAAAGGGTGGTCCCTAGGTCTGGTGCATGGGGAATCCCTGTAAGGATGAATGTAGCCACGAAGCTCTCATTTTGTCTGTCCATTTAGATAATGGATTCTTTTCCTAAAAGAGGAAAAATCATCCAATCAATTGACAAGCACTTTTAAATATTGTGTTAGCCTTTTTTTCATTACTTCCCAACTTTAATATTTTACCATAATATAGTTTTTGTTGAAAGAAGAATTACCCCAAGGAAATGCACAGACAGAGAAGAGCAGAGTAATTAAAAATTTATAAACATGTCAGGAGGCATTGGGAATGAAAATCAGAAAATAAAACAGCTCCTGAGTTCAATAATTCTATACTATCTTGAAAGAAATAACATACACCTAAAATTGTAGCAGGGGTTGAGCACTAACTTTCTCTACATGTAATCTATGTGATCACCCTTCCTTTCACCTTCTACTCATCTATTTTACTTATTCATTCTCCTACCAGGTTCTAACACAATCAGAGGATGTGCTTAGATATTTTTCTTAACTAAAATTGAAATGTCTCTCATTAATTAATTAGCTCTAAGCCATTACCCAAGTTTATTAATATTATTTATTAAATATACTAGAGAAATCTCTTGTCTCATAACTTCTTGCTCATCTCAATACTAAGCTCCTTAATATTCTAGGCTTAAATAAGTAGCAATTTATTATGTATAATTTATTAACAATGCAACAAATAATGAAACAAAGATATAAATAATTATAATGTATGATCTCTGAGACAAATCATAGGCATAGTCACTTCTAACCATCTCTGGTATTTCTGATTTCTTATCAATTCTGGAAGCACAAGACCACAAATCACTTCCCTTAGAATACCAATTAAAATTACTCACCAGAATTCTTTTCATGTTTCCTCAAAAGATAAGTTAAATCATTTCTCTAATGCATGAAGCACTACCTTAAAAATAGGCTACAAAAGTTAGTGATACATAGAAACTTCTCTCAATGGAAATTGAAATTAGCATCAAAGCTATTCAAATCAATACTTGGATTTTCCTGTCCTTTTATCCCAGTTTATATTGACATTTCCTATGGGTCTGAGTGAATGCATGCTGGAGGAGGCATAGAAAGATAGTGATGGTAAGGGTTGAATTTGATAATTGGTAGAAATCAGAGGTGAGAAAGGGGGTAGAAGGTAAGAGTCATAGAAAGTAGAACAATGGCACTGGTAAGCTCTCTAAGGTTCCTCATCTTGCATGGGAAACCTGATGCACAAATAGAACTCTACCAGCTTATTGTTTTTTCAGACATGACCTGAGGAAATTCTTAAGATGGGAGGTCTTGCTGAAGATCTAGCAAAATTAGTGGTAGGAACAGGTTTGGAAACAGGAGAAATGCACAAAAAACAACAGATAATCAAAGGAGCATCAGAGAGATAGCTAGAAAGAAGAGGAAGAAGAAGGAAGAAGAGAAATATAGGAGAGAGAGAGAGAGAGAGAGAGAGAGAGAGAGAGAGAGAGAGAGAGAGAGAGAGAGGGAGAGAGCTATTGTCTCCACTCTGTGTAAAGAGAGGACTTATCCAGAGAAGAATTAGTGTTGTTAAGGATTGTAAATTACTAGGAATTTGCATTTTACATGTATTGAACTAATTCAATAGTTTCTCTTTTGTTTTCCTTATTCTTTTAATACAATTCTTCCATAATATCATCAATTCTATATATACAATTAGCAATTGCAACTTCTTGTTAGGTTTTCTTATGCCATGGAGTCTTGGATGCAAAAGGTACATATATAATTTTTAATAAAGATCTGAAATTGCAAATATTGTGTGAAATAGTCAATTTGGTATGTAACACTGAAGTCTTTAGGGTACTAAAAGGGTACTATATGGTGAAACATATAAAATGCTGGAGAATTTCATGAGAGCAACAGTTGAATGTCTGCAAATATGAATAAAATGTTAAAGGGGAAATAATCCAACTTCTTATTGGACAAACACTTATGAGGCATTAATTATGACATACAAAAGAGATCTAAGAAATTTTTGTGTCATATCTCTGAGCTTTGTGACCTCAACATCTCTAAACCTCTGGTATCCCACAGGAAAAATTAAGATAATAATACTTATACTATGTGCCTCATACTATTTCTATGAAAAAAAATGTTTTATACACACTGAAGAACTGAATAAATGTATGCACTAAAAAGACAAACCTTATAATCATGATTCCCTGAATATATCAGTTGACATGATGCTTCTGAAAATAAACAAACAGAAACCATTATCCTGTCCTGTCTTTGTGTGAGGCCACAAGACACCTGTACTTGGAATTCTGTGCCCTGAGTTTGATTTGCTATAACTCAAGAAAAACATATTGGAGCTAAAAGGCATGTCTGCAACCAGAATCAGCTATGTGTTGTTGAGCCTGGCTTCCAAGAAAAGACTAAAAAGATTAGGAATCCAGGGATGTGTGATGGCTAAGAACAGTTAAAGCAACATCTCTACATTTATGAAGGAAATAGGTTAAACATTTAAGTATATCATTAAATCTTCATATATGCTTTGTGGTACATTGCAGACAACATCTTCAAATTGGAAACACATATGAGAAGAATAAAATAAATTAATACTTTGCATAGTGGGCACAATTAACAAATTTTGGGGAAAAAAATTTCCCTAAGAAATTATCTCAACTGGAAATATAAATGGGCTCAAAAAAAATTCAGATCAGTTTCTGAATGATGAAAATTAAAATAGAATTTAGAACCACTTTGGCCTTATTTATTCATTAAGTAGATGAAGAAACTGAGGGAGGTTAAATAATTTACCCAAATCAAATAAGTGAGAATGGCTAGAAAGATCTGAGTTGAACATCACAGAAATTTGTTTTGCACGACTATACATACTTGTAATGAAATATAATTTTCTTGCCTTCTTAATTGAGAGTAAAGGGAAAGGGGGGAATTTGGAAGTGAAAATAAAATAAAATTGAATTTTAATTTTTTTTAAATCACATCACAAAAAAGTAATTGGTAAATGTTTGACAAATGAAAAAGCACAGGCTGAGAATCTCACACTCAAAAGGCTGAGAACCTCTCATGCCCACCTGTTCTTATGGGAGTCACCTGGCCTAAGTGTTTTTTATCACTAATAAAACATTTCCTCTGGCTGAAGAGAAAAAAAAAAAAGAAAAAGCATGAAACTAAAAAATCTGAGTATGAATCCTGCCTTAGATACTTGCTACCTGTGATCTGGACAAGTCACAGCCTCTCTGTGTCTCAATTTCCTTATATGTAAAGTAAAGATAATAGTAACACTTGCCTCACCTATTTTTTGTGAACATCACAAATTTTTAAAGTGCTATATATATTCTATCTTCTATTACATATACATCTCTGAGCTTTGTGTTAGATCTGGAAAAGATTTTAAAGATCACATAGATCCCTATCGAACTCTTTACTTTTTAGATGAGGAAACTTTGGATCATAATGTTATCACTTGTCCAAGATCATACAACAGGAAGGATTAGAATCAAGTCTCAAAACCAAGTCTTCTGAAAAATGTGACTCCATGTCCTTTGTTCTTTTGAATATACCACACTCAGAGGGCTGGAGAATCCAGATATTCCAACTACTCATACAATGTTTTTACTACAGTACCAGTGCCGCCTCTCTAGGTGGCAGGAAATTAGAATATTATAATTTGATATCAGATAGCATGGCTAAGTACATTCTTGCAGGTCATGGGTAGAGACAGAATCCTTGGTGGGAAGGATCATGAACCTAATACTATATAGCAATTCTCCTATTTTTATTTCCTATCATCTCTCTTATTCCAGTTCCAGAAAAAAATACTTTGCCCTCTCCTGGGATTTTCTCCCTCCTTTGAGGAAGTTCTTAGAATAATATGATGAGAAAATCTTAGAAGAAGTTTGGGTACTTATGCTCTTCAATAATGCAACTGAGCATAGCAATCATGGTCAGACCAGAACAAAAGACAAGACAAATGCTGCTCATATTGTAACAGTGGCATGAGCCAAGCCCCCATGCTGAGTTGAATTTGTAAAAACCCAAAAATACATGAATGGAGCTACTAAGTACAGCACTTTAGGCAGTTAGAGTGCAATTCCACATCTCTACTTGCATATAAATGAATGTGGGTTATGCCAATATTTAATTCTAGATGCCTAGAATAAAGAAGATAACAGATGAGGAGAAATGAAGGCAGCTTTTGGTCAAAGAGAAAGGCTTAAGAATCTGAGTGGAAACAAAACTCTAAGAGATGTAAGTTTTTTGGAATTCAAAATCCAACCCTCAATGGTATCATAGTGCCTAGTACTAGATTCTAGGTTAGGTTCTTTAGTTTTGCAGCAACAAACAAACAGAAAAACTAGAAAAATCAAGAGATTAAAACATAAAGTGTAGCAAATGTTATGGGAAGCTCAGTACAATGGAATTCCACTTACATGTTAGTTTTTATCTGGTTTACCTGTATGTCCTTTACTTGCGCTTCCTCCTTACGTAATGTAGGCATCATCCAGAGTTTAACTTTCAATCTTCTCTTTTTTCCTCTGTGTTCTATTCTTTCATCTCATCCACTATCATGGCATCAACATGATGTGTATGAACCCCAAATCTGTACCACCACCCATTGCCTCTCTCCTTCATTTCAATCTCCCTATTAGATATCCCTATCTTAGTATTTCACTACCACTTCAAACTTATGAGCAAAGTCAAACTTAATTCCTCTCAAGTTGACCTCTCCCCAGCTTTTCCCTATTTATTATTGGCACCACCAATTTCTCAATCACACAGTATAGATACCTTCAAAATTGCTGTCTCTAATTCAGCTCCTTCAAATTATTCACCAAAGTTAACTGATTCTGCCTCTGCAAATTCTCTTGATTCCAATCCTGTTGCAATCATCTTAGTTCAGGCCCTCACTCATTACCCTTCTACATTATAGTAACAAACTTATATGACTAATTTGTCTGCCTCCATCCTCTCCTACTGACTCCCCTACCAAGTAGTCCAAACCCTGCATGTTGTTGATTCAGTAGTACTAATACACAACTTTAATTATGTCGTGCCATGCTCAAGTGAT